GCTGCAGCTAAGCTAAAGCTAAGCTAAAGCTAAGCTAAGGCTAGAGGTAAAGCTAAAGCTAAAGCTAGAGCTCCAAGGGGACCGGGGGGGGCCGCGGGGCGGGGACCGGGGGGACCGCCCGGGGCGTGTTGCACTGCCCGGCCCCTTTAAACTAAGAGAGTAAGACCCCTCCAGGCAGAGCCTAGGTACGGAAAAACGAAAGATATGTAAGCACGAAACGGGGATCATTGAAATGCCAGTTGGCTCAATCACAAGCTAGCTGCTACATATCTGGCAATGCGCACGCTCCTTCGCAACGCAGTATATGCTTGCATAATGTTGACGGCCCTGTGGGCTGCAAGCCCACCCTGCAAAAAACGGCGTGTCGGAGGCTGGCGACGACAATTTGACAGCATGGAGGTTCAGGAAGCGATTTCAATTTCTCGTTTGGCCGCAGGCCATCTACTGGATTGGTGCGACGGCATCACGTCTGCATCTCAGCTACAGCAGCACATGCAACACGCGTTGGACGACGGCTTCGATCACCCGATGATTGTCACTCTTGCAAACGTTGGTTCTGGACAGAATGCCAGCAATGGAATGGCAACGCTTCTTGGTAAAAAATGCTGCATCGATGATTTGATTACTTCGGTCCCTGGGGCGACCGTCGCTGACGTCATCCTTCCGTCGACATGGTTCCGCGCGCTCCACTGACGCCATCGGCGAGATTTTGGTCTGCGATTCGGGGCCACGGAAGAAAAGACTCGTTTGTTTGGGAGCGAATTTCTGAGCCGCCCCGAATCGCGCGCGTGGGCCAACGCCCTCCCATGCCTGCAGGGGAAGGGCGTGGATGACCTCATCCGCATAGTCCCTCTCGGCCTTCGCGCAGACGCAGGCCCTGTCAGCAAGCTGAATAGCTGCATGTGTATATCTGTTTCCTCGTTGCTACGGCAGGGCGACGAGAAGGTCACGCAGTTCCTCGTTGCATCCTGCATAAAGCAGCATTCGGCGGTATGTTCCGGGAGCTGGGCCGCTATACTCGCCGACTTCGACGCTTTGGCGGCGGGTGCTGTGGCGGGCAGCCCGGTCGCTAGAGATCTCGACGGCACGACGTGGAAAGGAGTCCTGCTTGTGGCAAAAGCGGACGAGGAAGAGAGGTGCAACGAGATCGGCATGCCTCACTACAATGGGCTCGAGCCGTGCAGCGAATGCACGGCGAACCGAAGCGAGAGACCACGCAGATTTGAGAGCAACTGCCGCGTGGAGGACATCGGCGGATATCCCATTTGTAGCGCGCAAGAGCCGACTCCGAGAACCTCATCACCCTTTGGTTAGCTCTAGGTACTTCTGTAGCATGTCTTTTTTCTTCATGGATTTGATGCATTTGGTTGACTGCAAAGGTGCAGCGTCGTTGGTGCATGGAGGAGCTCTGTCTTTTCTGATTCGACTTCCAGCGTCGGGCGTTTCCATCGCCGACCGCCTCGAACGAATCAATGCAGATTCCGGAAACTATTACGACAGGAACCCAGGGATGAACAGGCTGCCGAAGTTCAAACAGGCATCCCTCAAAGTAGATGGTTGGTTTAATTTACATGGTCCAACGGTGGAAGCTGGGAACGCAAGGGTTGCGGCACCGATATTCAATCGTATCGTTCATGAGTTCTTGGGCCCAGCTAGAAAAGATCACAAAGCTTGCATGTCAGCCACGCGGTGTCTTGCAGAACTGCATGCGGTAATTTATTATGAGCCGATGTTCATGTCAGATCATGCTCTCGAGCGGCAAAAAAAACACGTGCTAGAGTTTGGCCGCAGCTACCAGGAATGCAGAGACTTTGCACGGCGAGAGAGGGTGTTTGCTTGGAACGTTACTCCTAAGATACATCGGATGCAGCACATTCCGCTGTTTTCGGAAGTGGTGAACTTACGATTTCTGCAATGCTACAATGAGGAGAGCCAGATTGGTACGACAACGAAGGTGTGGTCACGCTCGATGACAGGGCGTTACAATGAGGTCGTGCAGAAATCCGTGTTGAGGAAGCGGGCCACAGGTGTATTCTTGAGGCTTGACTTCCGCCCTTGAGAGACAGGGGGCCATCGCAGAACACGTGCTTGAGTGTGCCCTCCCTCTTCAATGTCATCGGTGCGTTCGATGTGGCAGGGGTGGTTATCGTGGTAGGTATAGTGATCGTAGTTGCATTTGCAGTGGCAGTTGTTGTAACGGCAGTAATGGTAGTGGGCAGCCTTTGGTAGCGGTAGTCTAGTAGGGGTGGCAGCGGTGGATCTGGCGATTTTGGTGTTGCAATCGTGCATGTGTCATTGTAGTAGAGCTTTCAACTGTAGCTATTGTAAGTGATTCTGGTAGGGGTAATGGTCATGGCAATTAACATGCTAGTAGCCATGCACTCCGATTACACTTGCCAATACACTTGCCGACCGACGTCGGTTGAGGCAATTGAAGTCGAAGTGGCATTCGTACTCTAGGTCGTGCGTTGTGCTAGATTTGGCTGCTTGTGAGGAGGAGGAGGAAGAAGAGGAGGAGGAGGAAGAGGAGGAGGAGGAAAAAGAGGAGGTGGAGGAGGAAAAAAAGGAGGAGGAGGAGGGATGGAGAAACATGAGGGGGGAGAGGAGGAGGAAAAGAGGTGGGAGAAATATGGGATGGAGAAAAAGGATGTGGAGGAGGAAGAAAAGGAGGAGGAGGAGGAGTTTGAGGAGGATGTGGAACAGTTTTTGCTCAAACGAATTTGAAAGGTAACCCGATGGGTTAAGCGAGGGAAAGGAGGAGGAGGAGGAGGAGGAGGAGGAGGAGGAGGAGGAGGAGGAGGAGGAGGAGGAGGTGGAGGATGTCAAGCAAGCACGTGCGAACGTCACATCTAGCAGCACGCGGTGGCACTGCGTCAGCCGCTCGTGTTTCTGAGGTCCTAAGGCGTTCGCACTTCCCGACTTCGTATTCCCAAGGCTTTCGCCGCCTCCGCCCCGATCTCTTGGGAGCTCTTTGGGCCTCCTGGGGGTCTCATAGGGTGCTTGCTGCTTTTGGCTTTCTTTGGGCGATGCTGGGGAAGACGAAGGACTTCGCCGAGGTCCTCTTTTAAAGATTTATGAGGATGTCTTAGATGAAATTATATATATACACATATAGATATATATATATATATATATATATAACATGAGCACACATTTGAACTAAGTATGCCAACATTAACTATAAACCAACAAGCAAATATGGCCGATTAGAGAACATAATGTTAACACGATGAAAACACAACATTTATAAAAGTAGCAATCTTCCGCCGAGGTCCTCTTTTAAAGATTTATGAGGATGTCTTAGATGAAATTATATATATACACATATAGATATATATATATATATATATATATAACATGAGCACACATTTGAACTAAGTATGCCAACATTAACTATAAACCAACAAGCAAATATGGCCGATTAGAGAACATAATGTTAACACGATGAAAACACAACATTTATAAAAGTAGCAATCTTCAGCTACGGGGGGGGGGGGTTGCCGGGGGGAGGGTGCGGGGGGAGAGAGGGAGGGTGGTTCCAGCAGGGGGGGGGGATTGTGCGGAGGGGGGGGGGTGGCCATGGGGGGCGACCCCCGGGCTCCGTAGGAAACGGGAGAGGACAATGTTTCCCACGTTGGATCACGCTCTCATCTGATGATGATGATGATGATGATGATCATGCTGATGATGATGAGATGTGATGATGATGATGATGATGGTGATGGTGAGGTGATGGTGATGGTGATGGTGATGATGATGGTGACGATGAGATGAGATGATGATGATGATGATGATGACGATGATGATGATGATGATGATGATGATGATGATGATGAAATGAGGGATGAGGATGAGGATGAGGCTGATAATGAGGATGGGGATGAGATGAGGATGAGGAGAGGATGAGATGAGGATGAGTGATGAGGATGGGGATGAGGATGAGGATGAGGATGAGGAGAGGATGAGGATGAGGATGAGGATGATGAGGAGAGGAGGAGGAGCGGAGGAGGAGGAGGAGGAGGCGGAGGTGGAGGACGAGGAGGAGGAGGAGGAGGAGGAGGAGGAGGAGGAGAGATGCACCTGGAGGAGGAAGAAAGGGGAGGAGGATGAGGAGGAGGAGGATCAGGACAAGGGAGGACAAGGAGGATGAGGAAGGGGTCCCCCATTTCCCATTGCCCAGTGCCCATTTCCCATGCCCGTGGTGCTATGCATCCCCCTGGGAGACAGGGGTAGGATGCTCTTGCCCGTTCGCCGTTGAGTGCTGCCTCCGTCCAAGTTCTGGTCACGACCGGTCCACGTGCCCCTCCCAGTGCCCAGACTGGCCTATGTTCGGATCTGCGGCCAGCCATGTGGCCACAATGACCCTCCAGGATACCCCCCCAAAATAAAACGAAAGACGCCGGAGTCTTACACGGTTTTTGCAGGGTTTTGCCGTGGTGCACGCTTGCGCCTTGTGCCGTGGGTGGGTGTGCCCAGCTTCGGACGGCGTTCCGGAACGCTCTGAGAAGGCTGCGGCCGCCAGATCCCAGAGATTCTCGATTTACCCGTACCCGATGTTATCCTCGTCCTGCCTTCGTCTTACCTGGCCTGCTGGGAAGTTTTCTGAGCCCATCCCGAAGACAGAGACGACACCTCCGAATGCCGGAGGGCTTCTGAGAATTCCCGCCGCCTTCTGAGAGGGCCTTATCTTCGGATGCGGCTCCTCGGAGGTCAAATTCTGATGTTGCCCTTGTCCGAAATCCGGCTCAATCCTTTTTATACAATCCGGCTTCATCCCGCTTAATCTGTCTTAATCCCGCTTAATCCGCGGCCTTATCTGGCGTAACAGCCCCCCAATGGGGCTTAATCCTCCTTTATCCTTCCGACGAAGACCTCCCAGTAGTTGCCTCGTAACGTATCCTTCGCACTTCCCCCCCTCGCTCGCCGCGAATGGGCGCGCCCAGCTGGCGCGATTCCTCTCTCGACCTCCTCCCCGTCGCCGCCACGCGCGCGCAAGTCAGGAGCGTGCGGGCGTGAGCCTGCTGCTCTCGCAGGCCTGCAGCGTGGAACGGGGGGTGGGGGAGGGGGGGGGGGGTTCGGGGACCGAGGTCCGAGGACCCAGGTTTTCGGAGGAGGGGGAGATGGAGGAGGAGGAGGAGGAGGAGGAGGAGGAGGAGGAGGAGGAGGAGGAGGAGGAGAAGGAGGAGGAGGAGGAGGAGGAGGAGGAGCAGGAGCAGGAGGAGGAGGAGGAGGAGGAGGCATGCGGCTCGTCGCCGCCTTGCGCCTACCCAGGCAGCAAGGCCTCCGCTCGGCCAGCGGGTAAGGGCGCGGGAGCGGCTCCCTGCCGCCAGGGAGGAGGACCACGTGCTGGCGGACGCGCGGGCTTTTTCCTTTTTTTTTTTTTTTTGTCTTTTTTTTTTTTCTTCTTTTTTTTTTGGTCTTTGTTTTTTTTTTTTTTTTTTTTTTTTTTTTTTTTTTTTTTTTTTTTTTTTTTTTTTTGTTTCTATTTTTTGGGTTTTTTTTTTTTTTTTTTTTTTTTTTTTTTTTTTTTTTTTTTGTTTTTCATTTTTTTTTTTTTTCCTCCCCGCCTTGGCGCTGCGCCTGCAGCTTCCCTTGCCTGCGGCCGCCAGCGCCACTAGCATGCGGCGCCGGGGGGGACGGCACGCGCTGCGGCGTCGACCTGGCCGCGACACCGGGGCACTGCCTTGGCTGCCACGTCGGCGGCGGCACTACCAAACGCCACGACGGCGTCACGGAGTGGCTCGCAGGGTGGCTGCGTGCCCGAGGCGCGACGGGCGTGGGCACAATACGTGCCCGCCTGGGACAGGGCGCGCCCGGACGGCAAAGTCGAGGCAGCCCGCCTCGATGTAGCTTTCACTGGCCCCACGACCGGCACGACTTACGTCGACGTGGTGGTCATGGACGCCGCTCTTGGCGCGGACACGCCGGCGGGCCGGGGCCGCGCTGTCCGCGACGGCGCGGCCGCGGCGGCTGCGGAGGAGCGCAAGCGCCGGCGTTACCCCGGCCGAGCGCTGACTGCCTTCGCGCTCGAGGCCTTGGGCCGCGCTGGGCCGGAGGCGCATGCGTTCCTGCACACCTGGGCGCGCGGCAACGCCGCGGCGCTGGCGGCGGCGCGCCAGAGCCTCGCGGCGACGCTGCAGCGCGGCAGCGCGGAAGCGTACCGCTCCGCTTGCTTCGACGCGCGCGGCCAGGCGCGCTGCGGCGCTTTCGGCGCCGAGCCAGCGGCCCGCCGCGCGCGCGCGAGTTGAGCTGGAGCGCGCGCCCAGCTGCTGAGCTGACCGACGACGGGCGCGCGCTTGGCGACAGGCGCGCTCGCTGCCAGGGCTAAGGGCCTTTGCCGCGGGCGCACTGGGCGGCGGCGGCGGCGGCGGCGGCGGCGGCAGGGGCGCGGCGACGCCGCGCGGGCGGGCTCGCGCGGGAGCTAGCGCGGGAGGGGCGATGCGTTACCATCCCGGGGTCCCCGGCATGAGTGCGCCGCAGGCTGGCGCGGCCGGCTGGGCGCGCGCGCGCCGAGCGGCGGGCGGCAGGCCGCCGCGCGCGGCAGCCGCGCGGCGGCGGCGCTCTGGCGCAGATGCACCACCAGGGCCACCGCTCTGGCGCGGCGGCGGCGCAGAGGCACCGTCAAGATTACTGCGCTGTGCGGCGGCGGGTGCGTTGTGAAGCGCACGGGGCGGCCTAGCGGTAGAGCTGGGCAGCTCGCTCCTTCGTCTCCTCCTGCCCCTCCTCCCCCTCCTCCTGCGCTGGCATGGGACGTGGGCTCCTTCTAGTCTCGCCCCTTCGCTTCTTGTCCGCCCGTTCGCTCCTTTGCTCGCTTCGCGTCCGCTTTCTTTTTGCTTCTCTTCAGTGCGAGGAGGAGGAGGAGGAAAAGGAGGAGGAAAAGGAGGAGGAAAAGGAGGACAAGGAGGAGTGGGATGAAGAGGAGTGGAAGGAGGAGGAGGAGGAGGAGGAGGAGGAGGAGGAGGAGGAGAGGAGGAGGCGGAGGCGGATGAGGAGGAGGAGGAGGAGGCAAAGGGGAGGAGGAGGAGGAGGGGAGGAGAGAGGAGGAGGAGGAGCGGGAGGAGGAGCAAGGACGAGAGGAGGGGCAGGAGGAGGGAAAGGAGGTGGAGCAGGAGGAGGAGGAGGGGGAGGAGGGGGGGGGGCCGAAAAGGAGGAGGAGGGCGGAGGACGAGGAGGAGGAGGAGGAGGAGGAGAGGAGGAGGAGCAGGAGGAAGTGGAGGAGGAGGAGGAGCAGGAGCAGGAGGAGGAGGAGGAGGAGGAGGAGGAGGAGGAGGCGGAAGAGGAGGAGGAAGAGGAGGAGGGGGAGGAGGAGGAGGGGGAGGGGTGTCCTTGGTTTCTTGGCTGCCTGCCTGCCAAGAAACACCCTGCCTGCCCCTCAGGTGTCTTTGGTTTCTTGGGTTCGACTGAAAGTGCGTCGCTCCCACGCCAAAAAGTAATGGATGTCCTGGGGTCTCAGGGTTGGGTTTCTTGTATATTCAGGTGGCACCGTCCGCACCTTCCTTCTGCATGTCCGAGCTCCGTAGCTGCCTGCACGCCCTCCTGTGCTCAGCTGCGCTCTTGCTCTTGTGGACACTGCGCAGGCCTGAGGAAAGCTTGAGAGGCCCCTTCCAATATGGGTCAGAAGCCAGGCGATGTCTAGCAAACCCGTGGCTGCTCAAACGGAGCTCCGGGAAATTGTTGCTTTCTTCCGGGAAGCAGCCCGTTTACCACTTGGTGCGCTGAGCTTTCTTCTGGGAGGTTGTGCTTTGTCTGCCGGGAAGACCGTCTTAGCGGCCACGGATCTGCCTGCCCTCGCCCAGCCTCCGAGTGGGTCTCAGGGGGTTGGTCTCTTGTGGACGGCTGCTTCTGGACGGGCCTCCGCTGCACGAGAAAGTGCAGCCGGCGCCCCGCCGCCCGCGGCGTGCGTGCACGAGAAGAGCCGCCGCCGTGTGCCGCGCCCCCAAGGGGGGGGTTGGGCGTGTCCCTCAGCAGGAGGAGTGTTCAAAAATGGTCAGACAATAGTCTGGGGACAATTGTCCGATCATGTCTTGCTAATGTTTGAATGCTTTGGGCATTTGTTATTTTTCGTCCAAAGTCCGCCTGTAGGAGGACATTCCCGACCTAACCCCAAGGGGGGGTCCGGGCGGGCCCGGCGGCGCACTTCGGCGAACTTTTTGGCACCCGCGCGGCAAGGAAGAGGCCAGCACATTGCCCGTGAGCCTCAGCCCGAGAGCGGCCCTTCATCATTGAAGCATCGGAGGGCCCGTCGCCCTCCTCGTACCCCTTACCTCCGCTCCCTCCGTTCCACCCTGTTTGCTCCCGCACCATCTTCGAGAGCGATCCTTCATGACTGAGGTATCAAAAGGCCGTTCTCGCTCCTCTTCTCTTGCCCCTTCTCTCTGATCCTGTTTCGCTCCCCTCCTCCTGCCCCTGCCCCTCTCCCCCTCTCCTCATCACGGTATCCGTTCCTTCCGTCTCTCGTCCGCGTTCTTTCCCATGGTGCTGGTTCCGGGGGGTGCAGCGATACGGCTTCCGACGTAGTTCTCAAGAGAACGCGCACCTTCTCTCTGGATAGGCTCATCTTTGTCGCCATGTGTTGCAGATAGGCTGGTACGTCGCTGGGTAAACCCAAGACGTTGTAGATCTCCCGCAAACGGCAGCTGTACACCAGCGCGCCTGGCCCGGAGCATCCAGAGCCCTGGCGTGGCGTACAGATCTTCCCGGCCTCGGCCAGGAGGGCGTGCACACACCTTGCTGGGGCCCAGGATGGCCGTGGCCACGCACGGTTGTGGTGCACGGCTGGAGACCCACCAAAGAATGTTCAGAGAACTGTTTTTGCCTTGCACGAGATGCTCTCAGAACATATCTTGCTGAGGCTGAGCTGTTTAAGCACCCCGGCTTCATGTTCTGAAAACAGCGCTATTGCTCTTAGAACATTCGGTTGTTTCCCACATCCAGACTGGGGTTGTTGTTTTCTCTGGACACCCCGCGCAGCAACAGGATGGAAGGAAGGACCCCCCCTCTTTTCTCACTCATACACTCACACACTCACATCAGCATCGCAGCATCAACGCAACATCACTCAAACACTCACTCACACTCACTCGACCACTCATTCATTTTCTCTGGACACCCCGCGCAGTCCTGTCACCTCACCCCCTCTCCTCTTCTGTCTTGGCACGTTCACTCGCCCAATCATTCACGCACCATCATCATCACACCTTCAGCTTCTTCTCCCTTCGCACACTCACTCACTGGCCTCCTCATCATCCCAATCATCATCATCACTCACAGCATCATGATCATCACTCGTCTGTGTGTCGTCTCGAGCGGGTCATCGGCCTCCTGAAACTGTCGTCATTTTTGGGCTCCTGAGGCCTGAATATGGAGGACGCGTATCAGGCGGGAGCCTCGTCTGTGAGTGAATCGCGACGAAATCTCAGGCGGGAGCCCCTTCCCTATGGGGCCCGCAGCTTACGTGTTGATTCCGAGCGGGTTATCGGCCTCCTGAAATTGTCGTCACTTTTGGGTTCCTGAGGCCTGAAAATGGAGGATGTATCAGGCGGGAGCCCCCTCCCTATGGGGCCCGCAGCTCATGTTTTGAATCCGAGGCGGGTCATCGGCTTCCTGTAATCGTCGTCACTTTTGGGCTCCTGAGGCCTGAATATGGAGGAAGTATCTGGAGGAAGTATCTGGCAGAAGCCTCGTCTGTGGGTGAATTGCGAGGAAGTCTCAGGCGGGATCCCCCTCCATGTGGGGCCCGCAGCTAATGTTTCCCCACGTCCAAGGTGGGCTTCTTGCTTTCTCTGGACACCCCGCGAGGGAGCAATATGGAAGGAATGAACACCCCTTCCCTTCTCACTCACACTCTTACACACTCACATCATCATCGCAGCATCCGCACAACATCACTTACACACTCATTCACATTCACCCGACCACTCTATTTCATTTTCTCTGGACACCCCGCGCAGTCCTGTCACCTCACCCCTTCTCTTCTCCTGTCTTGGCACGTTCACTCGTTCAATCATTCACGCACCATCATCATCACACCTTCAGCTTCTTCTCCCTTCGCAAACTCACTTTCTGGTCTCATCATCGTCTCAATTAACATCACCACTTACAGCATCATGATCATCACTCGCCTGTGTGTCGTCTCGGGCGGGAGCCTCGTCTGTGAGTGAATTGCGAGGAAGTATCAGGCGGGACCTCCCCCAGATGGGGCCCGCAGCTAATGATTTCAATCCGAGCGGGTCATCGGCCTTTTAAAGATGTCGTCACTTTTGGGCTCCTGAGGCCTGAACATGGAGGAAGCATCAGGCGGGAGCCTCGTCCGTGAGTGAATTGCAAGGAAATCTCAGGCGGGAGCCCCCTCCGTATGGGGCCCGCAGCCCATGTTTTGAATCCGAGTGGGTCATCGGCCTCTTGTAACCGTCGTCACTTTTGGGCTCCTGAGGCCTGAACATGGAAGAAGAATCAGGCGGGAGCCTCGTCTGTGAGTGAATTGCGAGGAAGTCTCAGGCGGGAGCCCCTTCCTTATGCGGCCCGCAGCTCATATTTTTACTCCGAGGCGGGTCATCGGCCTCTTGTAACTGTCGTCCCTGTCGGGCTCCTGAGGCCTGAATATGGAGGAAGTATCATGCGGGAGCCTCGCCCGTGAGCGAATTGCGGGGAAGTCTCAGGCGGGAGCTCCCTCCCTATGGGGTCCGCAGGTTAGATGTTCAATCCGAGGCGGGTCATCGGCCTCCTATAACCGTCGTAATTTTTGGAGTTCTGGGGTTTGAATTTGGAGGAAGTATCCGGTTGGTGCTTCGTCTGTGAGTGGATTGCGAGGAAGTCTCAGGCGGGAGCCCCCTCCCTATGGGGCCCGCACTTCATGTTCGAATGCGAGGCGGGTCATCGGCCTCCTGTAACCGTCGTCACTCTTGGGCACCTGAGGCTTGAATATGGAGGAGGTATCAGGCGGGAACCTCGTCTGTGAGTGAATTGCGAGGAAGTCTCAGGCGGGAGCTCCCTTCCTATGGGGCCCGCACCGCACATGTTTTCTCTGGGTCGTCCTCCGGCGCGCGCTTCCTCTGGGTCGTCCTCCTGCGCGTAGCCGCTGGAACGCACGTCGTGCGTTTCCTTTCCGGTCGTGTTCCGCACGAGGAAGAGGAGGAGGTGGAGGATGAGGAGGACGTGGAGGAGGAGGCGGAGGAGGAGCAGGAGGAGGATGCAGAACGAGAAAGATAAGGAGGAGGAGGAGGAGGAGGAGACAGGGGAGGAACAGGACGATGAGGAGGTGGAGGAGGAGAACGAGGAGAGGAGGACGAGGAGAAAGAGGAGGAGGAGGACAAGGAGGAGGAATGCCCTAGGATGCCCCAGGAGTTCCCGGGAGGCCCAGAAGGCTCAAGGAGGCCCCAGGAGGCCCCAGGGCAAGGCAGGAGGCCAAAGGAGGAGGCAAGACGATGATGATGATGAAGAGGAGGAGGAGGAGGAGGAGAAGGAGGAGGAGAAGGAGGAGGAAGAGGAGGAAGAGGAGGGGGAGGAAAATGGTGGCGAGGAGGAGGAAGAGGAGGAGGAGGAGGGAGGAGGAGGAGGGAGGAGCGAAGGTCGGAGAGGGAAAAGGAGGGGGGAGAAGGAGGAAGGAGGAGGAGGAGGGAGGAGGAGGAGGAGGAGGAGGAGGAGAAGAAGAAGAAGAAGAAAGGAGAAAAAAAGGAAGAAGACGAGGAGGAGGGAAGAAGGGAGGAGAAGGAGGAGGAGAGGTCGGGAGGAGGAGGAGGAGGAGGAGGAGGATGAGGAGGACAAGGAGGAGGGGGAGGAGGAGCAACGGAGGACGAGGAGGAGGACGGGGAGGAGGAGGACGGAGGAAGGAGGAGGAGGAGGAGGAGGAGGATCTTGGGGAGGGAGGAGGAGGAGGGGAGGAGGAGCATGAGGAGGAGGAGGAGGAGGAGGAGGGGGAGGAGGAGGAGAGAGAGGGGGGAAAGGTGCAGGCGGAGAAGGAGGAGGAGGTGGTGGAGGAGGCAAGAGGAGGAGGAGGAGGAGGAGGAGGAGGAGGAGGAGGAGGAGGAGGAGGAGGAGGAGGAGGACTCTGCTGGACTCTGCTGAGCGCCTCCCACGAGGCCCAATCAATCACTGTCACCACTGTCCGCATACACCTCTGCCGCCGAACCGAGCAGCCGAGAAACGCCATCACCGCCGCTGCCACCCCCGCACGACACCCTAAGCCGAGCGGCTACCTCCTCAAGGCGGCGGCAGCGGCAGGGGCGGCGGCACAGCTCGGGTCGGCCTCCTCGGCCGAGCTCAGCAGGCTCGCCGTGACGCACGGATGGCGGGCCGACGAAAACCTGAGGTATTCATCGAGCGGGTCGGCCGCCTCCCCAACAGTGAACCCCTGGCCAGGAGAGCCTTCCACCTGGGAGCCAGGGACGGGGAGGCGGCACGCAGCACCGACAGCCTTCGCAGCCATCACGGACGCAGGTGGGCCGCGATAGCTAGGGAACAAGCCTTTTCTGAATTCTCTTCAGGTTGTCCCCTCCCTTCTTCGAAAGGGGGGAGCACGCGCCGACGAGGTTGCTCGCATCAGCAGTTGCTGTGCGGCCACATGACATACAAAAGAAAAGTCCTTACTGCATCATCTTGGCGAGGCGGTGGCTGGTGTGGATGGGCACTCCACCGACGCTCACCTCTCCCGAGATCGCCCCGAAACCCTCACCATACTCAGGCGGAAGCCCCAGCGTCCTAGCCGAATCCAGCGGCGCGGCGAGGGGAGGAACACGACACGGGGTCGAGGCGACTTTGAACAGCTTGATTCTTTTTCTTTTTCCTCTACTCTTTTCTTTTTTCATATTTTTCTTCCTAGCTTGCTCCTCGGGATGGTATCCTTGCACTGTCTACACCTCCGGCGGCCAGCAAATGCAGCAAAGTCGTGCGGGCTGGTTTTCAAGGCCTCTTCCAGGCGAGACGGCTTACGCGGTTGCTTGACGCTGAGAGGTCTTTCGCCGATCCACGGTTCAACCTCAAGCGCCAGACGCAACGCGCGTCGATCCTTGAGCCTCACCACTGCCGCCGTGGTATCCCAGAGGTCCGCGCGAGGGGCAGGGATCGTCGCGCACCAATCCCAGGCCCACTGGGCCGCACAGCCAGCCCAAACGTCGGCAGTGGGCAGAGGCGCTGCCCAGGCGCGAGAACACATCGAATTCAGCTTTCGCATACTGCAAATCGTCCTCTCTATGGGAGGAGGTCAAAAGAGCAGACGCATCCCCGGGGCCGCGGGTTCCCAAGGCTCGCCCAATACGGACCCAGAGGTCCCCGTTCAGGCCCCGAGGAAATTTGGCACGGCCAGAGTGCCAATCAGAGACTAAATTCTTGCAGTCGGTCACATAGCAGGTCGGACCCGTTGAGCTTTCCAGGCCGAGGCAGAAGGCTTGGAGCTCAGCACGCGGCGCAGCTTGCTTCCTACCCACCAGGACCTGGGCCACGCCACAGACAGGGCTCCAAAAGGGCGACGAGGGATCTTGGCACATCACGACGATCGCCGAGCCGCATCGCTTCCTCCTGAGATCCGAACTGTTCTCGCCCCCAGAGCCGCCCCCAAAAATGTACAGAGGGGGGCCTCCTGGGGCAACGCAGTGGTCCACAGCGCTCCCCTCCCCAAAGGACCTTCTGGGCCACCTCAGGAGTCTCTTCAAGCTTGGGCACCGCGGGGTCCTTCGGGGGCACTCCGCGAAGCCACAAAGTAGGTTGCGCCTCGTGGCTCGCGAGGGCTTGGGGAACCAGCAAATCCGTCTTCTCAAAATCTGCGCGGCCGCAATTAGCGGGGCGCGTCCAAATGCGGCGCGCTAAAGTGCCAGGCCTTTCTTTACAGCGGGGGCACACAGGCGGGCAGGCGTAGACTGCAGCGATCTGCCTCTCACGAGTCCACTGGCCTCCCCCAACGACGGCAATGTCGGCGGACCACTCTTCGAACTGCAGGCTTGGCGAAGCGATTCAGCTCGATGCTCACCGTCGCCAGGCCGGCGCCGTCCACTAAGTCCTCGCCTGATACATGTTGAGATGCGGCCTTCCACTGCAAGGCGATGCAATCATCCATGAAAGCCCCAATCATATCATCGAAATGCGCCATGACCGCTGTGCCAAACTGCTCGTCACCAAAGCTAGGGAAAATCCAATCGCCGATGGTGTCATCAGGCGTCGGGCGAGACCAGACAAGCGGCGACTGCGGGCCCCGCCCAGCCTGCAACAGAGCCGCCTGCAACGCCGCTATTGGTCCTCGAACGTCTTTCCCCCGCGTGGCTTTGCCCTGCTTGAGCTTCGCAAGCATCAGTGGCCAGGTCTTTTTGATCCTGGGATGAGGGCAAGGCTGCGTCAACCACAATGCCGCCCACTCGCGAACCAGCTGCCGGCGAAGGTCGATTCCAGGCTCTGCCATGCCATAGACCGACTGGGGCACCGTGGTGAGGCACCTTCCTTTCTTCGCTCCAGCTACGGCAGCTGCAGCATCACGACGCATGGCCAGCAGAGTAGCAGGAGGGGTTCCCATAATCTGATGACCAAACACCGCTGCAGGGCATACTCCAGTATTCCACAACTTCTTTGTCACAAATCTGACCCGGCTCAGGCGCCGAACCTCCATCACTTGATTCTGCCGACGGCGCGCCTGAGCCCGTCTCTTCATCATCTTGGATGTGGCACGCACTCGTGAAGCAGCCGCGTCAGAGCCGAGGTCGACCGTCGAGCGCACGTACTCCACAGGAATGCCTTTCTTCCTCAGCCTCTTCTGTAGTTCCATTTCAATATCATCAGAACTGGCCACCAGCTTGGTCTTGGATGAGATCTGCAAGTGTAGCCTCGACAAACCAGTGGCCATCGCATCTGCCGGGGCCTCTAAATCCGCGATGATTTCCTGCTTGGATCCTTCAGCTCTGCCCACGATGTCATCGATGTAGCTCCACAAACCCACGGGTGTCACCGCGCGGTGAACGTGATCCAACAGCCTGTGGAGCACCACCTGTGCCAGCCGGACTCCGTGCCCCGATCCTGCAACAATCGACCTGGCCACAACTGTTTTTTTTTTTTTTTTTTTTTTTATTTTTTTTTTTTTTTTTTTTTTTTTTTTTTTTTTTTACAACTATCGCCTCTGAAATCATCTGGCCTTCCTTCAACAGCCGCGGGGCAGAGTAAAGGCATATCTCAAGCAACGGAACAATCGGCGGAAATCCGACATTGAGCCCGGCATGCATTAGCAAGACAAAGCTCACCGCGTCGTAAAACTTTGTGAGATCTAGTTACAGTGTAGCATGTTCAAACGCCAACTCATGTGCTCCTTCGTGCATCACCGCTCTGATGAGAGCGGCTCTCAACGCCGAAGGTCCAGCTATCGCGGTGTCCCAGGAAGCTGAGAGCGACGACGACCACTCCCCAGAGGCCTTCGAGCGCATCTTAGACCAGACCTTCTGCGTCACCGGGACCAGTCCAAGTACTCTGCAGCCTCCAGCTTCTTTCGGAATAGCAGCTCCAAGGACCGTGCTGATCGCGGAGGGCCACGCGCCAGCAGACTCGACCATGTTCAGCATGTCGACGAAAGCCTGACGTGCCTGATCAGGTTGGCGTTGAATGTCCAGCGGGCACAGCGCGTCCATGCCCTTTGCCTTCTTGGCTGGTATCTTGGGAAGCACGGCATCCAGATCCAGAAGAGTGACACTTGGCAGCGGGTCCTCACGCGCTGCGGACAAGCAGCGCTGCATCATGGACAGTATATCCTGGGGCTGGTCGACTGGGTCCTTCCACGTGCCCTTCCATTCGGTAGCCAGACCTTGCAACATGGCCTGATTTGCAGAAGTGAAAGTTCCCCAAGGATCTTTACTTTCCCAGACAGGGCCAGCAGTGGGCTTAATGTGAAGGTGGACGGCCCCAGGTTTCTTAGCCCACATCTCCTGCACCCTTGTCATAGACGAAGACCTGGAGGCCAACGTGGCCCGAGCATGTGAGAGATCAGCCCACCTGCGAGTCCTCTCCAATAGCCCAGGTAACGTGCCCAAAGAAACACAATCCAAGCGGGCCACCATGCCCTTCCACACAAAGATCTCATGAGGGTCCTGCCGCTTGCCGAAGTAGGTCTCCTCGCCCACACCGTCGGGCTGCGCGATCAGCTTCTGCGCCTTCACGACGCACTGGGCAGCCTGGTCTGGATCTGAACCGTTGTGTCTGAGTGATGCATACCTGATTACCAGCGTGCTCGTAAGACCCCACCATTCAGCCTGCTCGCTCTTCATATGCACCCTGCCAGGGGTTGATCGCACCAACTTCCAGCAGCGGGCTGGACCTCGGGCCCTGCCTGAGTACAGCTTCCACTCGTGGGTCCCAACCTTCTCATGCAGACGAACCGCGCGCTCCATCACAGTGATCCAATGACCGTGTATAACATCAACTCCACGACGAGCTTCCTCCTGCCAGCTGAAGCCGAAATGCTGTGAAGAATCACGCGGTGCATGATGGCCCAGGAACCCAGAAGGTACAAGCCCGTGTGCGGCAGGGGCGCCTTCCCAGTGAATATGCGCCTGCGCTTCTTCCCACGTCTCCGCAGCGATAGCGAATGCAGCCTTCGCCTCAGTCCTCCCAAAAGGTTGATGCAGATCACCGAAAGCCTCGTGTAGCTCAGCTGGTAGGTCCTGAAGCTTACGCTGCCGAGTCCCCTCCATCCTCCTTGAAGTCTTGCTCTCAGGATCGGGGAAGGCCCGAGGGCGTTCACAGGTCGGAAGCGGCTGCGGCAGCACAAGATGGCGGTGCCATCGTTGAGTGCGGGCCGCCTTCAAGCAGATATTGATCCCGCAATGCGTCTTCCATGGCACCGACAGGTCAGGACTGACTCAACTTCAGGAAAACCACGCCCCACTAAGCCGTAATCATACATGCGACCTGGCCCTCTATCGCGCGTCGTGCTGCGCGAAGGTGCGATGGCCGTGGTGCCGAGGCGCTCGGGCCAACCAGTGGCAGCAAATGGTGGCTGGCTCAATATTCCAGTCCGCCATGATCAAGCACGGGTCGGCAATGGAGCGCACGAACGCGCCCGGCGCCACCAGCGCGTCGCAGTTCCAGCCGTTCACCCCCAGGCCTGGCTGGATGTAAGCTGAAATCAGCACCAGGTTGTCCGCCTTGGTGTGCAGCACCACGGGCACGAACCCCCTGCAGAGACCCAATCTTCCAGCATCCACAGAAGCGCGGCGAGCACTCTCAAAACTCGCCGCGGCTATATGCTTCTTTGTCAATATCCATTCTCCGCCAGGGAGGCCACTCTCCGACTTGCCCGAAGGGCGATCAGCCGTGCGTGACAACCTCCAGCCGTCCGTGTCCAAGCCCACGCAGATGTCGGGCATGTCTTGCTTCCCCTTGTGTGTCTCGCAGAAGGCCACCGCGCTGCGCCTCGACTCCTGGGCCAAGAAGCGCGCGGCCTGGGGGCCCCACTCCGTGATGTTGCCGAAAAGGATGGACAGGGAGCCCCCCTCATGTACAGGTAGATCTTCTGAATCTTGCGCTGCTTCGCCCCGGCTCCCTGGGCGCGACGAGGAACCGTTAGGAACCATGCGTGCCAGCGCCATCACCAGCAGCAGCAGGGTCGCTGTCGCCCTTGCCGACGCCCTTGGCCGCCTTTCCATGGGTCGCAGCGTTGGTGGCGGACTTGGCGCGCATGTTCTTGTGCGCCGACTCAGGAATGGCCGCGGCAGCGCTGGGGCTCTGGCTAGAGGGCGCGGCTGCAGCAGCCGCAGTCCCGCCTCCTGCCTGGCTGGGAGGGCCGCCCGAGTCCCCTTCGCCGCGGACGGCGGCCCCGCCTTCATCGCGACGGCGCCGCTTCGTGGCCGCCTCCTTGTGCGCGCTCTTCGCCTGGTCGAGAGGCGCCTGAAACTCCTTCTGCTTTTCGGTCGCCTGCTTCGAGATATCCCCCAGCTGCTTCTGGGAGGTCTCAAGCGCCGTCCTGTCGGAAGGCTCCAGCTCGCCGGGGGACTCGAACAAGGCAGGGTCCACCGCGAAAGCGACACCCTCGGCCGCTTTGTCGGGGGCCTTGCCGACCCGCTCCTGGGCCAGCAAGCGCGCGCTCCACCTCGACCATGTCGTCGACAGCCTTCTCGAGGACCCCGTTAGCCTTCTCCAGCTGTAGCTTGGCGTGCTCGACCGCGCGGGCTGCTCTGCCCAGCACGTCCTGCTTGCGCGAGCACTCCGCCGTCGCCTCCTTGAGCACCGTGTATGCAGGCTTGGGAGCGGATGCAGGCTTCTTCGTCTCCGCCAGGACCTTGAGCTGCGACGCAAGCCTGGCCGCCTCTGGATCCTTCCCCAAGCCCGCCGACTCCATTGCCTTGGACATGTAATCCTCGAGCGTGAAGGTGGAGGGGCTCTTTTGCCAGTCGACCTGGCCGCTCTTCCACCGCGGTACGTACCAAGTGCGGCTCGCCGAAGTCGTCCATCCTGGCTGCGCCGTAGCGCAGATTGAGCATGCTCCCTTCTGACGCTTGAGTCGCCAGTTCCAAGCCCAGTTGCCGCACGTGTTGCACGTGGTGAAAGCATTATTGATACCACCACCCATCTGCGCCCCTGCAGGAGCTCACCAAAGAAACTTACTCCAGCAGGAGCTCACACAATTCGGAAAGCTGGCTCGGGAAACAGTGCTATCCCAGTCAGGCACGGAGGCGCGGAGCCCCCAAGTGCATAAGCATTGAGCCAAAATGGCTACGGAGGAGGAGGAGGAGAAGGAGGCAGGAGTTGAGGAAGGAGGAGGAGCAGGCAGGAAGAGACGGAGGAGGCAGGAGTAGGCGGGAGAAGGGGGAGAGGGCAGGAGGATATCCGCAGGCACTTGAACTAGATCTTCATGCGGGGTCCTACCGTCGGAGTAATTTTTATCCGAGCGGGTGATCGGCCTCTTGTAACTGTCGTCATTGATGGGCTCCCGAGGCCTGAATATGGAGGAAGTATCAGGCGGGAGCCTCGTCCGTGAGTGAATTGCGAGGAAATCTCAGGCGGGAGCCCCCTCCCTATGGGGCCCGCAGCTTATGTTTTGAGTCCGAGCGGGTCATCGGCATCCTGTAACTATCGTCACTTGTGGCTCTTGAGGCCTGACTATGGAGGAAGTATCTGGCGGGAGCCTCGTCTGTGAGTGAATTGCGAGGAAGTCTCAGGCGGGCCCCCCCACACATGGGGCCCGCATTTCATTTTTTTATATCCGAGCGGGTCATCGGTGTCGTCATTTTTGGGCTCCTGAGTCTTGAATGTGGAAGGAGTACCAGGCGGGAGCCTCGTTTGTGAGTGACCTGCGAGGAAGTCTCAGGCGGGAGCCCCCTCCCTATGGGGCCCGCTGCTCATGTTTCTAATCCGAGGCGGGTCATCGGCATCCTGTAACTGTCGTCACTTGTGGGCTCCTGAGGCTCGGATATTGAGGAATTATCCGGCGGGGGCTTCGTCTGTGAGTGAATTCCGAGGAAGTATCAGGCGGGAGCCCCTTGTTTCTGGGGCCTTCCTTCACGTGCTTTCTCCGGGTCGTCCTCCGGCGCGCGCTTCCCCTGGGTCGTCCTCCTGCGCGTAGCCGCTGGGACGCACGTCGTGCGTTTCCTCTAGGTCGTGTTCCGCACGAGGAAGAGGACGAGGAGGAGGACGAGGAGGAGGAGGAGGAAGAAGAGGAGGAGGAGGAGGAGGAGGAAGAGGAGGAAGAGGAGGAAACGGAGGGGGGGAGGAGGAGGCAAGAGGAGGAGGAGGAGCAGGAGGAGGAGCAGGAGGAGGAGGAGGAGGAGGAGGAGGATGCAAGACGAGAAAGACAAGGAGGAATAGGAGGAGGCAGAGGGGGAACAGGACGATGAGGAAGAGGGAAAGGAGGAGGAGGAGGACACCGAGGAGGAGGAGGACGAGGAGAAGGAGGAGCAGGAGGAGCAGGAGAAGGAGGAGGGGAAGGAGGAGGAGGAGGAGGAGTGGGAGGAAGCTGGAGACGAGGAGGATGAGGCGGAGGTCGGAGAGGGAGAGGAGGAGGAGTCGGAGGTAGGAGGAGGGGAGAGGAGGAGGAGAGGAGGAGGAGGCGGAGGAGGAGGAGGAGGAGGAGGAAGAGGCGGAGGAGGAGGGGGGTGAGGAAGAGGGAGGAAGAGGAGGAGGAGGAGGAGGAGGAAGGAGGAGGAGGAGGAGGAGGAGGAGGAGGAGGAGGGAGAAGACGAGATGAGGGGGGAGGAGGAGGCGGAGGAGGAGGAGGAGGAGGAGGAGGAGGAGGAGGACGAGGATGAGGATTCGATTCGATTCGCACACCTTCGATGCCATCGTTGTCTTTGTCAGAGTGAGTTCTCCTGCACTCGAGCTCTATCTCGCAAAATCGCGCAATCGCCAGTCGTGATATGTCGCACAACTACGAATGGCCTCTGGCACGGTGAACCTCTGGCTTTAAGAGGAAAGTGCATATGCCATGCTCTATGCACTTGGGCCGCAGCTCGGGTCCCGAGAAGGACCAGCCTGGCCCATGCAGCCACCGACGCACGAGGTAGCCACGAGGGGACCAGGAAAACTAAGAGGTAGCTGGAGATTTAGCTATGCTCAAAATATGCCTACTCTTGTTGAAAAGCGTCTCGAATTTTGCGGTCCCAGGGAAAACCCCGCAAGATGACAGATATTCCGTGATTAGCTGGGCATCCGATGGCCGAGCAGGGGGAGGAGACGGAGGGGGGGGGAGAAATGTGTAAGACGGGGGCAGCCTCAGGTGCGGGAATATCGGGAGGTGGTGGAGGCGGTAGAGGGTCATCAGCAGCAGCAGACGAACCATATTTATCCTCCCTGCCTCGCAAGAAATCGCCTCGTTGTGCCTGAGTCCACGGTGGAGTGTCATCAGGAAGATGTAGAGCCTCAAGACCGTCCTCGGAGATCTCGTTATCAGCTCGAACTTCAGTATTCTCGATCACTTCAGAAGTGTTTCGAGAAACTGCTGAATCTCTCTCTCTCTCTCTCTCCATATATGCTGCTGGAGCTCGGCCGTGTTTGCGTTTGACTCCTGGAATCTGCATAATTGGTCCAATCAGCATCGTACGAAAGGACGGGTCGCGGCAGGAGATCGTCAAGCGTCGCTGCTCCTTCTGATAAACTTTTTCTTGGCGGCAGAACAGAACGAGTTGGCACTTCATGTCGACTGAGAATTCTCCGTACTCCGAGTACGCCTTTTGAACTTGTTGAGCGTTCTGCGCTCCTATGTTGTCGCCCAAGGACACCAAGGCTTTGAGCTGTCCTCCCATTGCCCAGATAAGGGCGGTCCCAACTGGTGGTCCTTCCCTGCTTGCTTGACCGCCACCGCATAGAGAAGTGTCTGCTCGGACATCATGGTCATCAGCATGCACGTGGCGGGCAGGATGAACGTGTCCAGAACTACACCTGCGAGGTCGCGTCCTTGTTGGTTGACTTTTAGCAATTGCTTCATGAGAAGGCAGAACAACTTGCGAGTGGGGTCGTCGATCTTCTTTTTGAGTGCGGTCGATACTTCTGCCGCGTTGCCTACTCCATCTGTTTTCTTTTTCTTCGGATCCTTCTGGTTGCCGTGCTGTATGTCTGGGCCCTCGCTCTTTGTAGATCCTTCGGGAACCTCGAGACAAGCCGGCATGGTGCAGACGTGGCAGAGGGCGAGGTAGGTGCGATTCTCGAATGTGCCGAAACAATATTAGAC